TCCGCTTTCATAACAATGTTTTAAGTGAATCGATCATTGTGTCTCAATGCTCCGTCCTGTCACTAAGCGTGGTGAACTATAAACTATAGTCTTTGTTTCCCCCACAATCGTAAATAATGACAACGTTTGTTAAACTAAGCTACATTGTCATTTACACGTACTTACCTACATACGTTTCTAGAAATTAAGATTTTGAAGGAAGTTTGTTGAAGACGTATTAAGATGGATGTCCACATCATACACATCATGTGGGTTCTTTGAATAGAATAGAAGTTGTTTTGGCACAAAAAGTGTCAGTATAGCTGTTAATACGAAATTTTACATTAAGATATTTTTTCAAGTTTTCTTTAAAGATGCCAGTAGGTCTACGTGATAGGCTATTGACAAATATAATACTTTTCCACGCACCGTCATACAACTGAGAATTCTATTAATCAAAAAAACTTAAAAATATTGTCCATAACCGAGTTGTTCAGTAACTGATAATTGAATTGAAAATTCTAGACCACGATTCATAAATGGTCTCCCAATTATTACTATTTAATACATACATATTTCACAAAACGTTTCTCTATAAGCCTACAGTTATGTTTGTCGGAGTCGATTTATATAAAATACCAAAATAGATAAATATAGTTTTATATCGTACGATGTGATGACTACTATTTTATCGTGGCTATCTACTAAAACCTGCAGATGAAGCGTTTGATATCTGATAGTGTCGTTATTTTCCAAATTCCATAAGTGTTATTATTTCCGTAGTTTTACTAGAATGGTCTCTATTGAGCATACAATATGATGTACGCTTCTGGACCCATTATTAAAGGAAATAGTCGATTTTCCAGACAATTTATTGCAATTTCCAAAATGTAGGTAAAGGTCTCGTGTTTTCAACTTTGTACTTCTTGTCATGTTTCAAAACTCCAAAAAATATTTGGTCAATTTTATTTTGACCTTTCAACGATGCAAATGCTACGAACTTCTTCTTTCTTTTCTATATTTGCACATTAATTCACTTGAAAGTTTCCAAATAAGGCCATTGTTCAGCTGACCGATCGAGCCATTCTTCAAATAACGTATTTATTTGCAGCGGGAAGTGGCATTCTATTCTTAACCAAGACCTTGGAAGTTGGCTTTAATGTTGCCAGTAACGGCAGTAGCATGGCCAGTAAGGTCTTTCAACTCAAAGCGATTGTGTGGCTTCTGATTGTGATTACTTAATTTGTAGATCACACTGAACTAAAGCAAACGTGATCAATCACGTTTTCATGACGTGGATTACGTACTTAAAGTATAGCGTTTCTAAAAAAATTCCGCATCGACCCATTTCTTGTTGGAAAGTGTTTAAATGTAGAATTGCTCACAATATCGCGCTTTGTCCTGGCAATTGTGTAACTTATGATAAGGTTATTGACTCGACGAGTAAAGTTGGCACCATTCGTCTGCTTATTAATTTATGCAACGAAAATGCTCACCGGTAGATAAATAACCATAGACAGAATGTATTCTTTCGTCGCCGTTGTCCATGTGACGTGTAACAACATGCTTATTATGTGCTAGTCACGTGCATTGGCAGCGAATTGTGAGCCGCGGGTCATCACGTGTTCTGTAATCATGGCATTATAGGAAACATTGCGGCTTCAACTTTGTGAGGAACCAAATTGTTCATTGTAGTTGGATAATCCTATTTGTTACATAAGATTTATTGTAAAGGTAGACATAACCAGCACATATTAAAACTATAAACACCAATCATGTAAGTATTTACAGTCAGCCCCATATAATACAAGTTTAAATAAAACCGTACTTTTTCACAAAGATAATGAATAAAAGAGAAAATTTTAAACAAAACGGCGGAGTCAACTTTCTACCAAAAAACGTAGCCATAACATGCACAATTAAGTGGCTTAATTACTCATAATTGAGACCGAATTATTCTGTACAATGGCAATATTAAAACTGTAGGTAGCCGGACTCACAGGAGCATATATTATGTAGGTTCAGCTTCAACAAATGAAGTGAATTTTTAAAGAACCCGAGCCAATTTTGACCTTCGAGAAACAGCATGGAACAACGATGGTTGTTACATAAAACATGAAGTTATCGTTCTGCGCATCGAATATTTAGTAGTCCTGCACTACAACTGCAAAACCTAAGTAAGGATCGGATTCTGTATTTCACATATAAAAGGACTTCTTTTTCTGATGCAGACTAGATCTGACTACGATATTGCTAATTTCCTAGAGTATTCTGAGAAGATAGTGCTGTGGATAACATTTGAATGAACATTGAAGTGTTGACTAATTGATATACTCTGTATTTTCTATTCCGTGGATATACTCATCAACTAAAAGCCATAAATGACGGTAATAACGATAAATACGTATACTTGTAACTCGAAAAACCATATTAGTAGTAGTTGTGTTATTTTAGTACAAATATTTGGTTTTATCCTTGACATTAAACTAGTTTTGATTCCCTTAGCGATTATTTTTGTAATTCTATCAACATGTTTATGTTTTATGACTTCCGTGTTCGTAATGTACAATATTGAATCTCTATCATAACGATTTTCATAAAACTTTAGAGTATGCTAAAAGTGCTATCAACCAGAACGCTGACCTTTTACTTTTATGAAACGATTATATTTTTACTTTAGTAAAATTCTACTTTTTCTCTGCTGGCTATTAAGGCGTATTTGGCCGTACGAAATATTTAATAAAGGACCCTTATTTTGCTTTTTAATTTTTTGTTCATTAATATTTATGCTTTGTTTTGTTTTGTTTGATAATTTTCGCCAACCATTTTTGTTATTGGAGGATACAGGCAAATTTTTATAAGGAATTATTATAACACTTATATAACAATTTTCAAAATTTTTATTCAAAAATTTTAATTCTTTTAAAATATCGAAAATGTAATAAAATATGTATTTGGTTGAATAATTCCTCATGAATGTCGCCTGATAGTAAATTGTTGGACAAATTCATACCCTTAAGTGCATTCTGTATTAAACGAGTAGATCATTGAGAGCAGGCCTACTCTCAACAGCAGTCCCCAAAACGTTCCCTCATCATTATTTGCAGCTAAACCATTCACATGTACCAATTGTACGATTTATGAATGGAAGGGACTTTTATGTATCATGCTTCTTTTCCAAAATGATTTCTGCTAATGAAAATTAATACAAATACTGATACGACTGACAAAATTTGAGAAGCTGACGGTTTGGTCACGCGGAATGAATAGGATTAATACGTTTTACTGACCCACTGACCTCATTTGTGGCATACGTTCAAAAGTCCAGGTGAGAAGTACTCGCTTGCGTGACCGCTTTGAAAGATTTAGGGAGTGTACCTAGTAGGGCTTCAGCATGTAGGTCGTTGCCTAAAAAACATAGAGCAACTGAATCGGTTATTGCAAAGGAATGGTTTAAGGCGCCCGTTTCTTTTGCATGAGTGTGCGGTTTCGAAACCGTGCAAGTACCAATGTGATTTTTCCGAGCTATATGTACTGCCTATGATTATTTAGGCACCACTAACACACGGTGAAGGAAGACCGTGAGGAACCCGGGACTTATAATTTTTAATGTTAAGTTTGAAATCGCCAATTCGCCTTTAGCAACGATCGTGAACCTTTGTCGTGTGAGAAGAGTCCTTTGCTCAGCAGTGGACACTAATAGGTTGATGATGTGATGTAGATTACGTTTCATACCACGACTATTTTTATAACGGTAACCTACTGAATTTGTTCTACTACCGGTAATTTATAATAATTAGGTTTAAAGGGTCGTTTGGTGTGTCGTAAAACATTTGTATCGGAACCGAATCACCATAATGTTACGCTATTTAGTAGCCGTAAAGCTCAAAGCTTCGGGAAATGGTACGGGTTTATTGGGTTACAGTTGATTTAATAAGGTTTTTCTAAATAGTTTTTTTAGAGGAATAATTGCTATTCTTTTTCCGTGTAAAGTAATTGCAACGGTTGAATTATAGAGCGTATTAAACAAATAATGCATACCTTTGCATTTTATGCGCCACGTGTACCTAATACAATTTATAAGTACTTACCAGTATGTATTATGGACAGCTTGAAATTTAAAAGTATCTATGATTATAAATAATACATTTCTCATGCGTTATTACTTTCCTGAGTTATATTGAAGTAATTTACGGGACTGTGTACACATAATATGAGCCCCTTGCGTAGCTTGAAACTAGTCGAGTTATGTATATCGTCAAACAACATGATTAAGCCTAATACCTGTATCAATATTCAATTTTTTCTAATTTGCTGAAATTTAGTAGTTTGATTACATTATTCCTTTGATATATGTAACAAAGACGTAATATGCTCTTGCATGGCAATAAACCTACTGCACTATGATCTAGACTAGTTACTTGAAGAAATCAGTAAATGTTTTTAATCATTCATTAGCCATATGCATTACTTGTATACACGAGGCAGTCGTAAAACTATTTATTAGTTATATATACAGTTCATAATGTACTTTACTATGTTATGTTATTACCTATTAGCCTATAACGGCTATATTTTCAATGTATAGCCTCATTGTACCATTTACCTCGTCAGTTTCCTCAGTTGAAGGATTTCTTATTTAAGTATGTCAGCTATATCTTATATTATTATATCTATCAATGTCTTTGAATATTGTTTTAACAAAATAGAAAGTCGTGTTTTCCTCCAGTGATTTTGTTATTGAACTTATATGGTAATGCCGAAGGCAGAAAGCAATGTCTTTTATTTATATGGAGATTTCTAGTTTTCGTATTATTGGTAAAGGAAAGGATATCGTACAGTATTCGATATATTTATACATGTTTCTTTGTTAGGAATTATTTATTATTTATTATGACCGATAGCGATATCGAAAGTATTTACGAGGCGGCAGGGAAATATCGAATTCCTAAACGATAAACGTACCTATACATATAGTGTTAGATTATTGCGTATTAAATTTTGTTGTTTTTTCTTTTCAGACAAAACATAAAGCCCTTGTCGGGCTCAGCGCCGTCCGTCCGCGCTCCACCGCCTAATGCGACGGGTACGGGCGATACGACCGACGGCAAGCAACCGAGCAAGTCACGGCAGAAAAAGTTCCAAAGGCACTTTCCTCAAGTGGGGCCCGAAGAGAAGGTGCTAAATTGTAAGTTTCTCAAAGATAATTTTCAATCATTTGAAAATTACCAATAGCATAAACACATCGATATTTGCCAGTTTGTTCCAGACATCAGTAAAGTGCCGAGACTCCTCCTCGGCTAAGATAGGATAGAGGAATAATTTTATTTAGAATAAATAGAAGTTAGAAGTATAAAGTTTTGATTGGGAAAGTTGACGTTTTCGTTATCGGATTCTGTGTTTATGTACATTGCAAGTAATCGACTTGTTAAGAGCTCCACTCTGCCATAATCCGCCAGTAATCGAAAGTTATAAGTTGGATTTCGTTTTAAAACTTCGAAATCTTTAATATGCGCGTCGGCTTTCGCAACAGGGATTTTTATTATTATTTAGGAGCTATAAAAGATTAGAAGGACTTAAAAGCTTTTATTGTGGCTTATAAACGTTATCTTCTTTACTTAAGATAAAATACGCGAAGTATCACTAGTTTCTTTAATTAATAACGGTAATGTTATTCTCGCAGTTTGTTCACTTTATCATTAGAAAGGTAGTTTAAAAGCTAATATAAACTTGTCTGACATGACTATAATCGACAGTGGCGCCAGCTACAACTGCAAAAAAGTAAAAACCTAATTTGTTTTATCAAGATCTGAAAATTTGAGTGAAAGGCGTTACTATCGTCATTTACCGCGGTTCTCGCAAAGCTCTCGTTAGAAAGTTAGTGCTACCGCAGAATATAGTTGATTACACTACGTCAACAGATAATAATACTTTTGCAAGTCTAAGTGCCGGCGATTTAGAATAATAGAAGTTTCGTCACAATTCGTCTGGTAGTGATTTCGGTCATGATTTATGAAATAGTCTAGGTAAAGGTTAGGACGGACTTGATTTCTACAAACCTGTTGTAGAATCGGTATTCTATGTAGACTTGATTTAGTGATAATTTTTATTAGGTAGATGTTATTGAATTTTCTTTATATTACGTGTCGATAGTATAGCGATAAGTGTGACTTTCCTTCAACTCAATTGGCTTAAAACTGTAAGTGTGTTTTTTGAACGTCATTAATTCTAAAGATACTTGGGTCACTGTACAAATGTATTGATAAGTGAAACATCAAAATCGACCTTGGTGAATTCTACGTAACAAAAGTGTGTTTTTTTTCAATACTAGTTTTCCTTTTAAAACTCGATATGAAATACATGGATTTTCCTGTTATCCATAGTTATTAAAAAGAGGTTACTGACGTAGAAGTAAACAGTATTTCCGAATACAATTTCAAAGTCAATGCCTCGTCCTAGATTTTTGACATATGAAATTCTGAGTAGTAGATATGACATCATTATAATGTGTTCGTAAAAGAGGTGTGTCATTGAACCCTATCCTCAATCTCCTCAAGTTTGTGAACCCGACATATGACCTCTTTACATGTATTGTAAGTACGGGATCACACCACATCATAGGAGAAGAGTTATATAGGCTTAAAAAGGTCACGTACCTCTCTATAGAAATGTGCCGTAACAAGCGTTGAACTGTAGGGAATCCGGAGTTGGTATATTAAGAGGTCCCGGTGTCCCTTGCAGGTGTTGATGATGGCCACCGGGGAGGTTTTCGTTAGGTAAAAATCCCACATTCCCTAGTTTTTTTCTCCAAGAGCTAGGGGCCTTTTGAAGGATTTCCCCCGTTAACAATAAGAAAGCACGGGATCTGACCACATCATGTGATAAGAGCTATACATAGTATACATACATAAGTATGGATATGGAAATAGGTTAAATTGATCATGAAGATTTTAATCGCTTTTTATTTCATTTTGGCCATATTCCAAATGAGTTATCTAATATTTTTTTTTTTATTATAGCGTAGTCAAATAGTCTTCCAGTAATTAATTCCACTTAAAAATATATTTCTTAAGATGATCTTCTAAGTGATTATAAAGAACATTTAAACTCGACACTTATGCAATAAAATCAAGATTCGGTCGAGGTCATTACTTGAAGCATGAAATCAAAACGAACAGTTATAAACAATTATATACCTTAGCATTTAAATTATCAATATTCCCTATTTTTTAAATTTGCATACTTACAATAGCTAGCTATAATTCACATAAATTCGTATGCAAATATTCGAAATTATTGTCTTGCAGACGTCCTGTTATAGGTTATAGTTCAAAAATGATCTAATCAACCAAGAACATGGTTTTCTATAAAAAACATGATGTAGGTAGAATTGACGAGTTCTTTGGAGCACAGATAATGAATTCGATCCAAATGGAACATTCTACAATATTACGAATAATCTTCTTCTTATATATAAAAATGGATCGCAAAATGTGTTGTAAGCGCATAACTCAACAACGCCTGGACCAATTTTGCTAATTCTTTTTTTGTTGTGTTCGTTATTGTCAGGAGAAGGTTCTTATCTAAGAAAATATTAGAAAAGTAGAGGGGAAGATTAGGAAAAGTGACCCTTTAATAGCGAGATAGTTGGACCCGTGCGAAGCGGGGGCGGGCCGCTAGTATTTATATAAAATTTATTGGGACAAAACTTATTATTTCCAAGCAGGTTCCTACGCAAATAAGGTCACGATGATATAACATATAATGTGGGTTATTTATACAAAGTTTGAGGTCTAGTGTACCCTAATGTGACCTCGGGCTTAGTGGAAAGTTTTGAAGTAGTATAAACAAGGGTTAGATAGCTTCTTTGTTTAGATATGACAGGAGTGACCTTGTTTATCGTCAATAATAATTTTTTTTATTTCTTTTGTTCCTATCCAAAGAAAAAATGATGAGATTTTATTGACTTGTTGATTTGATTGTTTTTTATATACATATTTTACACAAAAATAGCTTAATGTTAGAATAGTCTTTGTTTTCTGCAAGAGAGATCAAGGTATTCAGTAACACAGATAATTTTGTCCCAAGACAAAAGCGGAGGAGGCCCGAATTTAAAGCCTCGAAAACAGGCGAAAAGTTGCGAGACTATCGGTTGTTTATTGGATACATTTAGTAGAATGTTCGGGGGAGCTACACAACTTGGTTCCGCCTAGTCCTTTCCGCCATGGTACCACTAGACAACCGGAAAAATTTCATCGCTTTATAGTGGAAATATCACCTATACGACAGCGCGGTTCCCCAGTTTTATGACTTTTCGAATTCTTTGCCGGAGTCTGAGTTCACCGAACGGTGTGACCTAGATGTCTTCAAGGCCCGAGTTTATAGGTTGCTTATGGTGGTCACGTCCACCGTAGGTCGCATCATCGCTTTCCACCAGCCGTGATAGCGGCCCAAATGCCTGCTCATTTTGAAATAAAAAACCCAGGCCTTTAAATGTCTTTTCAAATCTGTACACTCGCAAGAAGCCAATATCTGATAATGACCTAAAAAACTATGAATGTATTTCGTAAAATCGTATGCACAAAGTTCTTAAAACTTTTGACTGCCTAATTTTTGTTACGCTCGAAGTATCCGGAACCGCTTTCGGTATCAGCCATTATTGCCATCATTATTATAAGAGTCGCTGTTTTCATTAAAAATTACCGTTAAGCGATTACATAAACTATCAACAAATATTAGAACATTAAAATTCCATACTAAAAGTTATACGAAACCGGATGATTTTAATAAATAGTACTTTATTTATAATTGCCTAAAGCATTATCTTGATTGGTTTAAGAAATCCATATCAATTACTGAACCGGATAAATAAAAAAATACTTTATTTGTTCTTTGCATTAAGCGTATTTTTGTTTTTTCTATTCCAGATTACTCATGTGCCCTAGTTGGTGATCTACTACTGCAAGGTCATCTGTACATCACCAAGAACTACTTCGCTTTCTACTCCAATGTATTTGGATATGTGACCAAGGTGAGCAACTTTATCAACTTTGTTGCATAGTATTTTAGATCTTAAGTAGATTATAATTATGTTGCTAATAGCGTGGCAAGGTGTGGTGCTTGAGAAGCTAGATATTATGGGTTGTGAAGTCGTTTTAAAGTTGCTTATAATGATATGGTTTCTTAAATTATGCATGTTTGCATAGTAACGTGACATCACATCTCTTAAGTAGACACAGGTGGCCTTATAGCAAGTTTCATCAAAAATGCTGAGACTTTTTAAATTTTAATAATGATTTACTGAATTTCGAATATGAGTTTTTATGATTGGCAACCATGGGATTGTCTAAATTCGTCACTTGTTCTATTGCTGGTTATTATAAACATTTAAAATATTTGGAATATACCCATAAATGAAATTGCTGCCTAACGTTTGGAATTAAATGGAAAAAACATTACTTAACACAAATATGAATTCGTATATCTAAAACCCAATATGCGTCCCATAAATTTTCATTGATTTAACAGTTCATTCTGCTAGAATTAAGAATATGGCAATCCTCTCTTAAATAAACCAATATTTTAGCAATGTGTATATTCTTCATTGCTAACTTAAGCTCAAATCTCGATAACAGCTGAACCGATTTCGTTCATTCCTTTTTGTCGTGTTTGTTTGATCGAAGAAGGTTCTTAACTTAAAATCGCGGGTAACTCACGTCTATATTGCGAAAAGCTCTACGAGTTTCGAACCACAGAGGGGTTCTTCCTCATGAGCAGCGTGCGCGGACGCGGCGACGTCGCCACGTACGCGTACTAGTAGAGCTTTTCTCAATGTAGACGTGAGTAACCCGCGATTTTAAGTTAATTTAGTATGTCTCACGATAGTTATTATAAAAGAAGGTTCTTTTAAAGGTAGGTGCCATAGAATAGGATAGAGTAAGGAAGAGTACGGTAGACTTGAGCTCAGTGGAATAATGGTGATTAATATTATTGCTTACTGGATGATAACAATGGCAATTATTTCTTTCCAGTTACTAATCCCGATAATATCAGTCCTCCGGATAACAAAGGAGAAGGTTGCCCGTATAATCCCGAATGCTGTAGGAGTTTGCACTCGAGATGAGCGGCACGTGTTTGGGTCCCTGCTGTCGCGGGATTCCACCTACAAGCTTATGATGCACGTCTGGAAGGCCGCCAGAGCACCCGAACAGGCTGTACCTAAACCACAGGTATGGGTTAATAAAGTTGTAAGGCTTATTCACGAAACTATTCGATAAGTTTCAAGCTGCTCAAGAGTCTATAAAAATGAGCAGTTTGCACGATACTTACTCGACGTATGTACCATTACTACTAAATACCGTATTATTATACGCAGTGGATATTTCAGTCAGTTAAGTTTCTTGTGGTATCTAACCAGCTAGAAAATATTATTCAACCAGCTTAGCTTAAATTTTATCAATTCGGCAGACAGACATGTTTGTAGGTTTGAAAGTAAACATTTTTAAGCTTTGATTTTCTTTATGATCATAAACATACAAATCACACCCACACCCGTACCAACAATTAACGGAGCACTCAAAGTGTGTTACCGTGCGGGAGTCGAACCCGCGCCACGTTGCAAGGCAGTCGGTGGCCCCGTCACTGCGTCAATTGTGCAGTCAGTATGTGCATCGACAATAACATGTTCTGATGTAGGTTTTAGTAAAAGTTAATCTAAATCCATCGATCACTAATAAAGAACTAGATAGACAATCAGTGACAAAAAAATGTCCTAACTGAAAGTCCACCAAACTCAACATCGCGGTGTAGTTTTAGTTTAGTACCACTCGAATGCTCCGACGGTAAACATGTCTCAGTGCTCGTTTAAAAACTGCAAAAATCACACATCTAAGACGCAAAAAAGGATGGAATTTCATATTTTCGTTAAGTAATATTATTATCATTATATAATTGTCATCATTCTATTTTAAATATGGATATGAAATCAACTTAAAAACTTTTTCCAAATGAAATCGTATTCAAAAACCGGGGTTATAATGCAGACAGATTATAAAGACACTTATACTAAACGTAAAATCATTCTCTAGCATGACAACTTAAGTTGTTCGGTTTACGAGGATTGATTCTGTTCCGTTTAGTGGAGACGCTATGGTTTCTAATTTTATTTATTGTTTTTTTTTATTAAAAAATAGTTTTTATTTAATATTATACTTCTTTACTGTGTTTATTAAAATATGGAATAAGCAGATACAACGGATTTAATTGCAGATAACTGCAGTAAAGACATTTTATTTAGTTTTTTTAGCTTTCCTCAAAATCCTGTGCGATATGAAAAATTGACAACAATAACGCCAACCTTTTCAGTACTTACTTTAGATATATATTCTTTTTATCATTTTACATCTTCTTATTTGACTTTGGAAGGATTAAGGAGGAGGAAAATGATTAATAAAAAAAAATATAACTATATGCACTAGTTTCATTGATAAATAAATGAACAAACCTATAGAAAAGAATACTATAAGTAATGCGTTTTAATGTGCGTATTTTTTTTTTAATAAATTATCATAAAAAATATGAAAGAAATATATTTCTTACGAGACATTTCGACTCCAATCATTCTTTGTCCTAGCGGTGAGCCAAAGTCGTTAAATTTTATTGCTTATTTTTGACACTTTGTAAATTCGACTTAGAACCATGCGAATATGGTTCAATTTGTAATGATTTATGTTTGTCAAGAGCTTCGGTCGCAAAAAATGTTTAGATTTTGTACATCACTTTGTGAAAACAACTCTATGAGTTGCATTTAAGGTTTAATTTACATTAATGCCTATTTTATAAACATGGTAGTTATTGGCAATAATAGCAATAAGAATTTTAATTACTTACATCTCCATTTCAGGACCTCAGAGCATCAGAAGTAGAATTAGAAGTGTCGGAGTATTCGCCTGAAGATGACAGCAGTTCTGCAGGCGGCGACCAACCTGATGCCGCCTCACCGCCCGCCAGGCGAGAGTCCGAAGCTATTATAGCTGCAGGTATGCAAAAATCAACCTTTCTCCGTAACACAAAGACTTTAGTTTCATTTCTTACTAAATGTAACACAAGATCCATTTTCTTAGCTCAGCTAGCTAAACATTTTCTATGCTTATTTATGGAGGTAGGTACTAGCATTAGCTCTATTCTTAGTTCCAAGCTGGTTTGTAAACGAACCAATGACAAATGAGAAATTCTAGTCACATTTTGGTGTCGTTGAGGAAAATTTTGTCCTTCTACCTACAAAGTCCTTTGATTAAATAAGAACCTCTACATATATTTATCTAAATAATTCCCAATGTTATCAGCAGGTGGCGCGGCGGTAATACAACCAGCGCTACTGACGGGCAGTGCGGGAACTACACGGACGGCGGACCGATGGTGGCGCCCTCTACTCGCCATACTCGCCGCATTCCTCACCTTCACAGCATTTATACTTGCTTACAAGTTGTATTATGCTTCGTATCAGTCACAGGTATGTTGGAAAAAGGAGAACAAAAAAAATAGAATTTAATATAAAAAAAAATGTGATAGCGATAGATAATTCGTCATAATCAAAAAATTAGGCAAATCAAATCAAATCAAATTTTTTTATTCGTCAAATTAAATTCGGCAAAGCAAAGCAATTGAGTGGTTTCCCAGGTCGATTATAAATCATTTTGACTATTCAGTACAATGAAGTAAATCTTACTTTCCTTTATTTATTTCACGATATGTTTTTTTTCTTGCAATTTTTTTTGAAATAAGTTTGCTATTTGACTTAAAAACACTGACGTCATATGTTGCGATCTCATACAAAACTAATAGAAACGTTCACATTTTAATAAAATTGAAGTATTGAATTTGACCACTTAAACTACCGGATTAAGATGTCATTCGTTACGCGTTTTATCAACATTTTAAAAGACATATTCTTTAATTTCACTAACATGGTATACAAAGTTATTAAGTCTAAACTTATTTTAACTAATTACAAATGTTTTATACATAGATATAGGTTCTATAGAAGTTGTTTTCATTCAACCATACATATAATTTAATATGAAAATTCTGAGTATTTTTAAATCATAAGGCAATTTATTAAATATACGGACACACATAGATAGACAACTTTTATTATATTTACAGCATATATGATACATACTATTGTCTTTTTCTTTCAGGAGGAAACAGTAAAATTATCGGGCGAAGAGCTATATTCGGAGTTGGTACGATGGCGGGCGCGGTTGCACGGACGGGCCGCGAACGAACTTCACTCATTCCTAACCACCAACCTTTTGTTACTTACTAAGGTAATTTATTCAGTACGTATTCCACACAAACTATATTCTATCTCTTTTTTCTTGTATGCTGTTTGAGTCTCTTGGGTTTCGTTTTCGAATTGTCATGGTAATGGTTTATAGTTTCGTTCAGTGTCCACTTGTACTTTTGTCTAATAGAATATATTGTGCTGAGTGTGGAAATTTGGCTTTAATGGATAAAATATATTTTGTAATTCGGTCAATCAAGTCGGTACCTTCTAGAGTGCCTGTTTATGAGTTTGTTCTATATTTGCTTACCTATGTACCACATTTTGTATCAGTATTTCTTAATGCGATCGACACGTTTGTCAGGTACGTTTAGTGCTCTAATTGGCCGACTCCCAAGTTAACCAACCAATCAGAGTTCTAAATGTGTTTCGATCGCGTTAACGTAAAGCAAACTCGCACTAAGCACTCTGGATTTAGAGATATTTTTTACGTAAAAGGTTTGCGTTGCGATAATTTTACGCTTTGCGGTTAAAATGGTTCAGGTTCTCTAGTCTCTGGCAATTAATTGTGTAGTCCTTTAATTGGATCTTACTAAATATGTGACAAGAGTGGCGGTCAACCTATTTTTTTGATCTCAAATTAAAACATTTTACCTTTACTTTTCAGGTTAGACAATCCCTAGAAGCGCTATCGGGCGTGATACTAACCGATATGGCTCAATCAGGCACCATGGATCTCAACGTGGACCTTAATCTAGACGTGCCCAACGAGACCCTGTTCAGTTAGCGAGCGACCGGACGGCCGACCCAGGTGACCATATTGTACAGCATTATAATGTAGCAAGCTTAGGGTTGTCGTAGATATATGAAAATTAATTTCCCATTTTTCTCTAGTCTACTAGCAGACTTCGATTGAGATCTAAATAAATAAAAATGCATTTAAAAAATATCCGCAAAATATCCGACATCGACAACCCTAGGTGAACTTCATGCAATAGTAATTCGTTACGTCAGCGCTTGCTAGGGTTATCACTATGTGGATATCTCTCCGAGGAAAATATTGTATTTAGTTCGACAGCTGTGCTGCAGAATCCGACAAGGAAACGCTTTTCCATGTCTCAGTGAGACGGAAGTGATACTAGTTTTTATTTATTTATGCGATTTATCTGTTTTAAAGTAGTCGCGGATAAATATCCGCCGATTTTGGTCTCAAAGAACAATGAACTACTAAGGAGCGACAAATGTTTGTTGAATTTATTATATTGTGAGGAACTTGTAATATAGGTGTCCAAATATTTAAGAACTAATTGTCTAAGTAGATGACAGTACCCACAAAGTGTATAGGTATTCTGCGGTTATCTAGTGAATTTCCCTGTTCCATGCACTTGTAACAATTATTTATTAATATCGGACCCAAATTTATATTTTTTATTATATAACTATGCATTTTATTCGTAATTATGTTATTCGAATGATCGCTTCATTGTTAAAAATGTTTTATAAAAGCGCATAATCATGATATATACCAAATAATATTCGCGTCTTCACATGTCTATGTTTTAGACGTTTTTGTTAACGCCTCGTTGTTTTAAAAAAATCAAGTTCTTAATGTTAAATTATGTTCTTGCTAAAATGTTTTGCTTTTAGTCTAACTTTTACTATACTGCTGATATTGTCGAATTTTAATTATATACAGATTTCAACCTTTATTACGTAGATATTTTAGTCTGCTAACATTTTATATAGAGTTTTAAAGCCGTTGACAATCTTTACTTCCATATTTTTTGTGTGTATTACAGAAATTTATATCAAAATTTGTCTCAACAGTATAGTAAAAGTAAGCAGTAAAAATTTGCTCCTCTTCATATATTATCATGTATGTGATTTGTATATACAGCGGCATTTAGCCGTGATGTCTATAAGGCATAGCTATGTCATATTAATTTGTGTCAAACACAAACGTACTAGGGTAAGTTGCGTGGTCGAGATGAATGGACGATCACCTTGTAAACACGTTTTATAAGTACACCGTGAAATTGTACGAGATATTGTTTAACTAACAGAACTGATTTATTCTGTTCTTTAGTATAAACGGCATTTATAACTATCTCACTCGCGATTCTTTACAACCGCACAATTTTCTCTAGAAATGTGCAATCTACACGTTCCTTCGTCTCGGCTTATTGATAGATATTTTCATAATCACAATTCTATATCTTTGCAAACTACAATATATTCGTGTTACACATTAAATTGTATGTGCTTAGTCTTTGTGGGGAACGGATAATGTAAGTCAATGTTGCTATTTCATTATTCCTGTATTACTGCATATTTTAATGTAAGATTGACTTTTGACGTCATAGCCACGTCGGACGGGATTACATTTTTATTTAAATTTTAATATACATATGTATTTATGAAGTGAATCATGAAATATTGAATGTGACACAGTAGTGTGGTATCAATGGAGAGTATACAATTGTGAATGTGATAGATGTCAGAAGGCAGGTGCTAGTATTAGATAAGAAGTTATTGTAAAGCAACATTCCTCGTTTGAGAAAGTATCCACAGTATGTGTCGAGAGAGTGGAGTGCGCCGCACGGGCCCAATGCTCGCTTCAATACATTTATTGCCAAATAGTTTCGTAATATTTCTTGCCACTATAATGACACATTGAGTAGCAACAATATCGTGCACCTAATATTTCTGTATCGATTTCAAATACTATAAAAAAACTTATTTTACACAAAATTTTAATAAATATCGCAAACTGCTATTTCGACAATAAGTAATTAGAATAAACATTGTAATGAAATAATAGATACGGATTTTTTACATTTTTATCGATGCAAGAAGTATTAGGTTTGACATTTAGTATGATTTTAGTAATGCTAAAGTTTTTAATGAATAAGAATCATGCAGAATGAAGGCGAGTTTTGGACATTTTAATTTTAAAATAGTATCGTTCATAGTAACTACGTGTAAAGTTTATGTAATTAATAATTTATTATTCTAGTCTTTGGTCAAGCTCAAGGATTTGTTATTCGGTTCTATTGGGGTTAGTATGTACTTAGGATGATTTTAAAACTATTGTAAATGTGGAATCATGTTACGGGCACTTGTAAAGTTCGTGCAATTAAGTGTTATATAAATATATAAATGAATATATGACACATTCTTATTTATTGTAGTTCCAATTACTTTATTTTGTACTGGAGTCAGTTTTAGGGTATGTTGTATAGTAATTTGTTTAGCACATTACTCCACAACATTAGACGATGCTAGCTAATTATTCCTCGAACAATTCACTCGATGTATTCTGTACAAATATGTTCGTTGTATCGCGTCACCTAGGTTAATTGGCTGTTGTTAATATGTTATGTAATAAGGGCCTAATGTCGTACTAGGTTACCATCTGTGCCAAAGTGTTCCATCACTGTTTGTATTCCAAATGACAAGTTAGGCCTTTATACAGGTTAGAAGAAACGTTGTAAATCATTTATAAGTTCTAGTACACGATTTTAAACCCAATGTTGTTCGTTTTAAATATCATTCTCTAGTACTAGCGTAGAAGTCATAGCGACTGGACCAATGCGGCAATTTATTTTTCAAATATTCAATGAAGTTCAAATTTGGAACTTCTGAAGCGGAAAATTCGCAAAATTGCTAGAAAAATGGTCAGCTAGTTCGACATTACGAATGATTTTAATTGTATAATTAACAGTTTTAACTAAGTATTTGAAGAGAATAGTTTACTTTGTCCTGTGCAAACGATAGACTTACCATTATAGTATCTATCGTACAATTGTTTATCATCGTGTACTAGAATTTATACTTAAAGTTTATTAACGTGGCTTCTACCCAATGTATCCTTATAGATTTACCGACTTTTGCTTACCAAGTCACTGAGCAGTCGACAACAGGTTTCAATTGTTGCAACTAAATCGCTTCAAAATGTCCTAAAGCTGTATGTGTACACTTGCTCCATAATTTCGTGTTATTTAAGGCTGTCCACGCTATAAACGAGTCATTTATCAGAAATGAATATTGCCAAAGACAAAAAACACTAGATTAAAAACAAAATATCAAACGTAGATTTAGTGAGGTTTGTACAACAGTTAGTTGTTAGGTAGGATCGTGCTGTTCATTTGAATTATATTCATGTAAATAATAATAGAATTATTTTACGTAATTTTTTAATGTTTTTTTTTCTGGTGCAATATGAAATATCCAGTGAGATGTAGGTGATGTTTTATCAAAATTATTTTGACGAACAAGCGTTTTTGTTTTGTTTCTCTTTAAAGAGTTTAGTGACGGCTCAGTAAAACATCATAATGCACTTTATATGAATTAAGCTTATAGAAATATAATTATACTAAACCGACGTTGATATAAAGCTAAATTTTTATGTATATTATATGAAAAGTCAGTTTTTAATAGCGTAATTGTATCAAAGGGTGATAGAACTGATTTATTAGTGATGTTTAAGTTGTACCACATAGGAATTGTTATGGACGCGTATGTTGTATGATTTCAAAGTTTGTTTTGTATATTTTTGTTTGAAATTGTGATTTGTTTGTTGATTTTGTAAATAATAGATAGATGAGTTAATTGAACATGAATACTGGTTTTATTTTTATCCTTTATTCCCCAAAAAACACTGCAAAAGTAAGTCACCGTCGATGCAGACTCTAGGTTACCAACTTTTTTTGAGGGTGGTAAATCAAATGACTATCTGGCTCCTATTAAAAAACAACCACCTCCTTTCTTTTCCTGCTCCGGGTCGAGGCCGCTGTTCATAATTGCGCTGGCACCCGCAAAACACACACAAAGAAAACTTTGGTTTGTAAATCTACGATCTTTTAGTTGTATGTGTATGACACAGAAGCAGAGCTCAGCTTTATGTTATAGTTCGCAAACGAGCTAACGGATTGCCTGATAGTAAGCAATTGGCGCCGCCCATAGACCCCTGCAACAACGGAGGAGTTACGAGTGCGTTGCCGACCTTTTGGGGATTAGGTATTCGGAGATTTTAGGAATAGGGAGGGATTGGGGAGTGTAAGCTTTGGGCCTCCGGTAACCTCTCTCATACGGCGAAACATAACGCTGTGGTTGTTTCTCGCCGGTTTGCCGTGTGTGAGGCCGTGGTATCACTCCGGTCGAGCTGACCGATTCGTGCCGAGTCATGGCTCTCCCACACTTAAGTTTACAGAAAATAAAAAAAGTAGTCATCGTCATGTGCGATAAACATCGAATTCCTTCTCTTGCCCAGCGTAAGGCGAAAGGAAGTGTCAAACTCTTACTGACTTAAAACTGCTCCAATCCTTCTCCTGCTCGAGGCCAAGGCCGACTTATTGCGCTTGACCTGCGCCCTCGGCTAAACTTCAGCCCTGTGGAGTCCCATCTGTGGTGGTCTATTGACTCTTGGAGGCGTGCGCGAAAGGCTACGCGTCGCTCACTTGGCTCTGATTTTGGTCGGGCGGCGAGCTACCCTTGCTCACCGCAACTCAGAAAGAGGAGACTGTTGCCCAGTTCCGAACAGTTCAGCCTTAATCAAGGCCATGGTTGGCGTCGACTAAGGCTGGGCGCGAGCCCGAAAGTTATCTAAAAGATCCCTTCTACGTACCTTGTCCATGGATTAAAAAAAAACCTTATTTCTTAGCTAGGAACATATTGATTTTAAGATGTACATAATGCATGAATAAGATTTTGAACAGGTCAACGTAAAGGTATATCTTAAAATACGTAATGTATTCGTTATTGTAAATTGGCCTAGTTTAGTGGAATGTCACACCCGTGTCGTCCCTGCATTAGAAAATGTGTGTGTTGCACAAGGAATGTAAACATTTCTTTATATTTTAGTTAGGAACCAGATTTCGAGGAATTATTAATAAGACTATATTCGTCAAATTACTTAGGCTCTTTCTAGGTCTAGATTACTATAGAATTCTAGATCATTCCGACATTCTGTCATTTGACATAGAAAACTCTTAGGTTAAATATTTAAAAAATCTAAGGAGATAGGTACTTATAGCTACGTGAAAGTAAGTAAAAGAAGCATAAGTAGGTAGGTACGTATTAAGTCTTCTTTTTCTGGAGTTGCATCCCTTTGCAGCCTGTTGCCGGAGCTCATGACAAGGAGAAATAATATGTAACGAACATATGGAAAGTTGTGACTTAAAACGGAAAATACTTACGTGTCTAGGAGTGTCGATACTATACATAATTTCATATGGTTACATATATTTGTATATCGTGTCGAGACGCGTGTTGTCAAATGTATAAAATCAATTTGCTCCTGGCGCAACAAGGTGTCCGTTACCCAGGCCAGATGTTGTCGACAATGGTCATTTGAATCTTATAGATAATTAGTTGTGCGGCTTCTGTAATTGTTGCGCAAATTTTTAAATTTGTTGCGCTTATAGTTTTTTAATTATTTCACAAAAACATTTCCTGCTGGCGTAACGTTACTACAGGGTGTAGGCTCAGCTCGCCCCTTGGATCTCGCCCCTGATTGCCTAAGTGCATCAACTCGCCCCTTAAATTATATTATTAGATACTCCAACTCGCCCCCGATTGTTGGTTAGTTAAAGTACTGTCAGAACTCTAAGTTTATAAAATATTTAAATGAATATTTTTTCTTAAAACTTCAATAATGGTCCCATAAAAGGTCCCTTTTGTTACAGTAGGTAAACCAGGTAATAAAACTATCACAAGTTGTAAAATAATTATTTAATTGTTAAATTTTTCACTCGCCCCGTAAGGGTTTTCATAAGGGGCGAACCACAACTCCAAATTAATAAAAAACGGGGCGAGTGGAACATTTTAATCGGAAGGGGCAAGATCCAGGGGGCGAGCTGATACTACACCGTTTAGGATACTACAGCCAGACCTTTTTCTTTCTAATGGGAATATTAAAATAAATATTAGCTATAAAATTAGTTGTCTAGATAAAGTAAATGTTGTGCCTTATTTTGTATTTGTTCTTTCTTCGGTTGCGAAGTTATTCGAGATTTTGCTGCGGTAACGTTTTTGGTTTTGCTAGATCTTTGAAATGGTTAAGCGGATTCTTATCATATTTTGTACACGACTTCCGAGGACTTAGTTTAAATTTGTTGTGCAATAACAAAACCAAAATAATGCATATTTTAAAGGCTTTTTCATTAAATAGAAAAACACTTCAATTGGCCCCAGCACTCTCAAAAAGAAGTCTAAAGACTTACTTTAAAAAAAAACTACATGATTATTCAAGATTTTTTATTGAAAGGTAAAATAATCATATCATCATAACTTGTTAAATACTTACGGGATACTAATGAAACTTCACATACATTCGAAGGCAGTTACAAGCTTTAAAATTACGTTTAAAGTAAGTCTTTAGACTTCTTATTGAGAGTGCTGGGGCCAATTGAAGTGTTTTTCTATTTAATGAAAAAGCCTTTAAAATATGCATTATTTTGGTTTTGTTATTGCACAACAAATTTAAACTAAGTCCTCGGAAGTCGTGTACAAAATATGATAAGAATCCGCTTAACCATTTCAAAGATCTAGCAAAACCAAAAACGTTACCGCAGCAAAATCTCGAATAACTTCGCAACCGAAGAAAGAACAAATACAAAATAAGGCACAACATTTACTTTATCTAGACAACTAATTTTATAGCTAATATTTATTTTAATATTCCCATTAGAAAGAAAAAGGTCTGGCTGTGGTAACGTTACGCCAGCAGGAAATGTTTTTGTGAAATAATTAAAAAACTATAAGCGCAACAAATTAAAAAATGTGCGCAACAATTACAGAAGCCGCACAACTAATTATCTATAAGATTCAAATGACCATTGTCGACAACATCTGGCCTGGGTAACGGACACCGCAACAAGACAGAGAAAAACATATTTTATGTGTTATCTCATACACATATAACACATATTTTATATGTGTTATCTCATACATACATAAAATATGTTTCTCTCTTAGTAATGTTTCCGTTTAACTTTAGAAATGTCTTCAATCGACAAGTACTTATGCATAAATGTAAGTAAATAAAGCTAACGGAGTATTATTTCTAAAAACAATAAAACGCATAATATATTTTCTATTATTATATTAAAAATACGAGTATGAAAATTAACATTAAATACAATTGTAAGACAACTGTTAATAATAAATACCATGTATTTATAACTAGGCGAGTTCTACTTCGAGATATTTGTAATACACTACTCATTTAATCACAAAATTATAAAACATTATGATAACTTACAATTTATTAGGATAACAATAAAATTTTAAAAGAAGTAAAATTATTATTTTCGTATTATATTTGCCAAAACAAAGTTTGATGAACAAAGAAATATGCGGATATATTGACGGAATAAATGAACGTATTTTTCATATCTAGATATCTGTTATCCTTTTTTGTTATAATAAAAACTTTTTTACAAGTAAGTTTATAACTGTTGAGCTGGTAGTAAATATAGGATAAATGTTTTGGCACTATAGGTAATGTGGTTTTATTGATATTTGATTCGTGTTTTAATGTATTCTTAGAGCGAAAATACAAATTTGTTTCAATGCAGGAAAGGTTAAGCCATTATTCTGTTTTTCAAACTTAGAACGATTTGTATTTATGTTAACGAAAAGTCATTATTTCTATTACAAAGGCAAATACGTTGGAGTTTCTAATTTTAAATAGTTTTTATTTAATTTTAGAACAAAAATATGTTATCCGAAAATAATTACAATAAATTCATTCATAACAGCCATCAAATACAAAACAATTTTAGCTAAGCCAGTTTATTAATTCGTTATTAAGGTTGACATTCCCTTGGCAAGTACAGTCAAATATTCAGAGTATTCCAAGGAGTTGTAATAGAGTTCCATTTGACGTCACTGTTCGTACGTCACAAGTTATTTTTAAACAAGTTCGTATGTAAAAGACTGTACCGTCATCAATTACAATAATTTCTCGTTATGTAGAATTCCTTTGCAGAAAACTTAATTTGTGACAAGTGAGTAAGTACCGAAATATAATAAAATATAGGAACGCAAACATTATGAAACAATTAGCCAGTCAAATCACGCAATTCTTACTGTGGGTACAGAAATCAAATCGGAATTCATTGAATATCATATTGCTAACAATTGCTAAACGAAAAAGAAACCTAATATTCAATTCATTATTTAATTTTATTTACTTATCATACAGTTGCCATGTTGACTAAATATATTTCACCAGCTTCATAAAGATGGTCAGGTTAAGATGGGACAGTTCTTTAGCTCATCGGGGGGTTGCGACGAATGCTTCGGCGATACCCGCCCCTCCGACACATGGGTTATTGGAGGAACACCGGGTTGGTTTTTAGTCAGTAAGAGTCTGACAGTACCCTTCGCCCTTACCCCGAGGGCGGTGGGTCTCCATGAGGATTTTCCAACCCGACACCAAAAAAAAAAAAAAAAAAAAAAAAAAAGTTCTTTAGCTCATACCTACCTATATAAAATCAAATGGCTTTCAAGATGAAGTGAGAGAGTGTACAAACAAACAATGCGGATATTTCTTCAATAAATTCAGTCACAACAAAATCGCCATGAGGTTCTGAACATGGTGAAGGTCTCCGAATAT